CAAGAAACAAGTTTAAAAGATTAAGTTTTGGTTCATAATTGTAGCGTTGGAATATAATTCCGGTGAAAGCACAACCATATAAAATTTATAATTTTCTTACGATTTACAAATTCTATATCGACAAGGGACATGGCATAAGCACATTATTACATTAATCATAGTGTAATCAAATAAAGACTTTCATTTACTTCAAAGCGAAGTTATACTTAACAATTTATATTATGATCTAATATATTATAGAGCTCAGTAGCTTTATGGGCACGTGGCCGAGAGGTTAGAACGTTCGCAGGTTCGAATCTCACCATGGTCGATTTATCAAGAAGGAAGACTTCCTGATGTTCTCAGACTGGAGAGGTCGATCCCAGTGAGCTGCACCTGTGGAAAGTGCCTGAAAATTATTAACGGGTTGATCCAAGCCTTGTGATTGAAATTGGGGACCGTCGATAGCTGTGTGTGTATGCACGGAGTCACAAGTCGTCGAGGGCGCTGGCTTTGTTCAAATTGTTGATCACGCTAGATAACATGCTCTTTCCGAGACACTGTAACTAAGGTCTGCTCAGCATCGTGGCAGTATAAAACACAGGTGGCTTTGTGAGTGTTGAATAAACACAAACGCGCCTGAGTAACCGTCTGCAATAGGGATTGACTAACCGAGCTTGTAATACGATGGCCAGCTATACAGTTTTAGTATGAATATCAACAATGCAGATTTAAAACATTTTGTTTTATAATTTGTGCCGAATAGTATTATCGTGTTATATACACTTGTATCTATTTTTGTCTTTATAAATTATGATCTAACAAATCTTATTCATTGAGTCGCCTTTTTTGCATTTTTTTTACAGTATTTTTACAGTTTTTAGTTATCGAATACAGTAAAAAAAAAACATGCATATTTTGCTTGTGGTGATTCCTAAAGAGAATTCAGGTTTAAATATATTCAATATATCTGAAACAATAAATATCATCTTTATATTGATTTATTCTTGAAGTCAGTTTGTACGTACAAACCTGTTGCGATAATGTATTCCTGTATATTTTTTTCAGGCTATCTTTAAAACTAAAAGCTCAAAAAACTGGTAAAAACTATGAATCTAATTTTTTTGTGGTGGTACTTATCACACTGAATACTGTGCTGATTTTCTATAAAAGGTAAAACATCAACCATTCCTACCTTTACAAGGCAAAATAAATCTAACAGAAATAATTACGAGACGCCCAAACCATTATCAAACTCCGTTCACTAAAGACTGCAATCATGCCCTACGGTCTAATTCTAGCGCGAACGGTGTAATCTCGTACAGTTCTCGTGTCATTTATTTTAGTTTAGGTTTTGCTATATAAAAGCTAAAGTTCGACATTTTGCAGTTATTGTATCATTAATAGTTTCTGTTGGCGGAGCCACTTCTAACACAATAAAACATTAGTGACTGACGTAGGTCCATCTCAGACAAGATATAAAACCGGACAATCGCCGGCGAGTCACGAAGTTCTGTCTTGATTTATTTACGTCGTCGTAAATTTTGGATTTTTCTCTTACGGCCTCCTATTCAGATAATCCTACCCTTGCCAGACTAATAAACTACTCGCTTCATTGATTCGGATAGATACACAAACGAGAAAGTTAGAGAGAATGTTTAATATTTGAAGATGTGGTTTTATTTCAAGGAAAACAAACGCTGACACTTTTTCTTGTTCTGTTGGAGCGATGGTCATCAGTCTTGTCTCGGCGATCATTTCGCTTTTATAAAAACTAATTTTCACGCGATACCTCTCATGTTTACGACCTTGTGCCATAATTACTTAAACGCTGAATGTTTGCGCTCTCAATGAAACTTCACGCTTTGAAGTCTGTTGAGTCACTCAACTCAAGTTCCACAAATGCGGAAAGCATACATTCAAAGCATTAATATAAATGTTGAAAAAACATGGTCGGCTCATTCTCTCAGGAAGCATCAGACTCTTTCGTTCATTTTTATATATTTTTAATTATTCTTATGAGACCAATAATGGAGAGTTTAGCTATAAATGAGATGGAGCTGCACAATCATCGATTTTATAACTCAGTAGAGATCAAAATCGTTTACACAGACTTTTTTTTTTAATCGAGTTCACCCCAAAGGGAGCAGTAAATCCACTAAGACACAACAGGGTACTGGGTGTGGAAGAACTAGAAAACAGAAACATTACTAAAAAGAAGAGTAATCAAGAAAAAACACGATAACCATTGCATTTAAATTTTTGCAGCTTAAAGATGGCTGGAAATCATGGAGCCGGAAAAGATTTCTACAAGCGAGATGTACGAGAAAAGTAACTGTTAACATAGAACTTGCGGTTACATCTGGCCAACTTGACTGTAAATTGATGAGACTTCGTCGCCAGTCGAGTAATGCGCTGAAATTCAAAAAGTCTAGGGACTATAGCGAAGAGAGATATTTATTCTGATATATACACAGAATTGTGGCCAAAACGGGGATTGGGGTAAAAGGACGGTCTTGTTCTGTCTTAACGTTAAACTTAGCTAGCCGTAAACACTGACCCAATCATACCACAATATTCCCAACACCAAAACAATGAATTCTTACTTACCTTTCTTACTACATCCACCATAGCAAAGAGCTCATCCGAGCAATGACCATGAAAGTATTTATAGAAAAGACACAGAGAGGTAAAAAATGGCGGGAAAATGACTGAAGCCTAGATGCCAGGACAAGAACAATGACATTCCTGGTCCTCTTTGGATTTTATTAAAGATCTCTAAATATTATGGCAGGACCGCTGGACTTATGGGAGAATAATTATTTTTTGACCCTACCACCCTTTTCTTACAGACTCAAAGTTGCTAACGTGTAAGTATTGGAATTATATTCCCATAAAATAAATATTAAATTGATTTCCGTTTTTTGTTCCAGCTTTTCAGAACTTAACAACTAGAAAATGCCATGTCACACCCACCGAGTCGAATGTTAATGATATCGCCCTTGTCCCAAATTCCAGAAGATATTTTCCTTCACTCAGCTTCTTCCCAAGAACTACCGCTTTGTTATATACCCGCTTTATGGGTTAAATATCGGTGAAGGCTTGACTCTTTAGCTATGGTTGGCTATCAGTAAATGAGGAGGACAATTTTGATGAGGCTGATACTTGAATTCTAACTAAGATCTGCTCAGTAGTGTTGCAGCATGAACTACAGATTGACTTTGCGGGTGTTGAACAAACAGAAATGGGACGAAGCACACGGACATACTAAGGAGCGTATAGCCATTTTTTCAAGGCCCAAGAGCCACTAAAGGTAGATGTTTACAGATGAAGTTTATGAGGAGGATCCCAGTTAAACCTAGAATTAGACATGTTAAGCTTGTAGTGGTCGGGGAAGAATCTTTTTGGAAGTAGGCTTCACAAAGCAGCATGGGAAGAATCTACTAGAGTGAAACTTACATTTCAGCAATGGAATACTAAGGAAATGACGGTGGTACTCTGTAATGGACGAGGCCACGAAGGTTATAACATACGGAACTAAGGAGTTTAGTCCGTCTGAAAACTCTCTATGCATAGCAGGAGAGCAGCGAAAGGCTTGCAACATTTCATATGTGGGAAAGGAGTTTTAAGATGGAAAATAATTCATCACCCACAAGGACCCGGAGATGCTTTTGGATTCTATAGAGACTGGAAAGTGAGGTCTGAGTATCTTCTGTCCATATATGGCTGAAGATTTTCGGTAACTGGGGGTCCTGTTTTACAAATAAAAATAAATCATGATTTAAATTTCCCAGGAACGCATTAAGGCCTACAAAAATTAGTTTTTCGAAATTTCATAAAATTAAATACGTTGCGGGTAATGGGTTTAAAACATATTTGGAGGCTGGAAATAGCGATAAACTGGCCAGAGGCTTGTGACTTTTGGTCTGTAGGAAAGTGGTTGTAGGGTGGAAAACAATTTATCTGCTACATGCTGAAGATGGTAAATCGTGCTGATCTGCAGTTTGTCTTCAAATCAAAACAGCTCTGATTGATGATGTTAAGCAAAAGCGAATAAAGCCAAGAGCCAAGTTGGACACTCTGTAAGGATCAAACCCATTACAGATGAATAGCTTTCTAATAGAATCATACTCATCATAATTATGAATGAAGGTAACGTCCATTTTGTTCAGAGATAGGGGAAAAAACTATAAGGCGATCACAGTACGAGTGTCCATTCTCGAACGATTGCTGTTATAGTCATTATAAAACTATCGTTACTTTTTCCTGGTAAATGTTCAGAACACCTACATATATTAGTTCCGCCGGTTCATATCTCATAGCTAAAACCTGCCATGCTACATAAAAAAGAGTCAATTAATTCTCATTTCTTTTATATTCTATCGGTAAGATTCACTCAGGCAGCTTCTTGCCAATAGATGTTACTTCTTGGAACAAACTCTCAAGAAGATTCCTCTGCGATCAAATCGACATTAACTTCTTCAAGGGCAGATTCAACTGTTATCTCCCCCGCATGTCTTCATAATATACATTCTTGTCCTTCCTGTAACGCCCTTACAACAACATCGTTTAGTAATTCTCTACCTTTAGAGGCTCTTGGGCCTTTTATTGGGTGCACGATTGTATCAAGAAACTAACCTTTGTACAGAATGATAAATGCGTCTGTGTTTATATAAATGCTCTGATAGGTATGAAATATAAATGAACGCTTTCATACGACTATAAAAGCAGACGAATGTTTTTGATCTCTATGAAAGCACATCCGGTTGATTTCATCAGTTCCTATTAAAATATTTGTTATGGTAATTTACCCACGCAGGCATGGACTCTCCCAGCTATAAATAGGAGCAGGTACTGCCTTTTGGAGGGTGAAGTTTCCGGCAGTCAGCTCTGGCAGTCGGACCGAACATTCTTGCTGTAACACTCTCGTTTGTATATGTTTGTATTACTGTTTCTGTTAATATACTTGTTTAACTCAATTCCTCTCTTTGTGTCTTTATTTCTGACCCTAACAAGGTCACAACAGATAGATAGATAGATAGATAGATAGATAGATAGATAGATAGATAGATAGTGTTATGGTAATTTACCCACGAAGGCATGGACTCTCCCAGCTATAAATAGGAGCAGGTACTGCCTTTTGGGAGCTGAACTTTCCAGCAGTCAGCTCTGGCAGTCGGACCGAACATTCTTGCTGTAACACTCTCGTTTGTATATGTTTGTATTACTGTTTCTGTTAATATACTTGTTTAACTCAATTCCTCTCTTTGTGTCTTTATTTCTGACCCTAACAAGGTCACAACAGATAGATAGATAGATGGATAGATAGATAGATAGATAGATAGATAGTGTTATGGTAACTTACCCACGCAGACAAGGAGACTCCCAGCTATAAATAAGTGCAGGTACTGCCTTTTGGAGGGTGAAGTTTCCAGCAATCAGCTCTGGCAGTCGGACCAAACATTCTTGCTGTAACACTCTCGTTTGTATATGTTTGTATTACTGTTTCTGCTAATATATTTGATTAACTCACTTTCTCTCTTGTGTCTTTACTTCTGGCCCTCATAAGGCCACAACAATATTAAAAAGGCTAATCGAACTCGCTGGTAGTCAATGACATTTTATAAGTTGTTTTTTTTTTGTTCATATAACAATTCGCTACAAGTGAAAGAAATCACATTGAGAATCGTATCAGCTGTCTCAGTTAATCCACGCTAACTAGACAATGGGCGCGCGAAATATAAACAAGCGGACATTTGCGGTTTTTGAATTGTCTGAATGATTTTCATCTCAATAATGGAACTGTATTAATATACTGATAACTATACCTAACATCTCTTGAAGACAACTTCCAACTAAATCGGAGCTCTATACACCTATCCTTGATATTCCTACAAACTTACGCGAATGTAGAATTTGCTTTGCAGGACACTGCCTCCACGCAAAACAATGACTTGTTTTGGACACCTAGCCATTGAGCAAAACGCTCAGCAACCACCTCCATTGACTAGTTAGGTTATCACAATGAATGCTACCCTCATGACAGAGGTGTAGATCGAGAAATCTTGATCTGCAGTGAAGAGCTAAGATTCCTGAAAAGATAGTAATTTTTGCATTTTCCATATTTCGAATTTCAAAGAGATATTTTGAAAATCAAACATCGATTCAGCGACCCAATGAAAATATAGGAATACATGTCTACATCATGACTATCTAATAAATGCAAGGAAAGTTAAGTTAAACGTAATATTTGTTGCCCGGTATATCCTGACAAAAGCCGATAATGATATGAAAAGGAATGAGCATCATTTAAATCTCTTCCAGAGAACAATTTTCTCATATTTTGATGATTTAAATTGTTGTAATATGCGAGAACTTATACTAAAAAAGAGAAAAAATTATTTCGGCCATATTATGTTAGCGTTGTTCGAATTTGAATGATCAGTAATAGACATAGCATATAAAGACAAATGTTTTTGGTGTTTTAAGCAACTTACTACTTGCTACTAAGCAATTTGTTTCTCTTCTTTCTGAGGTTTTCAAAAGAGGAGCGGAATGTGGCCTTGTAAAACATTCGTTGTTGCTGTTGAAATTACCGACAATCAATGTCAGAAATCAACAATTCGTTATTTTTCCTTATAAGGGTCCCAAAACGCAAGAGAATTTACACTCGTAGTTTAGATATATTAAAGATAAACCGTAAAGTGGTTCATTTATTTGGAAAATTGAATATTGAACACCCGCATCCCGACAAAATTGGAATAGAAATCTAGATAATGATTTTTTGTTAAATGCAAGGAAAATGTCGAAAACCGTTTTATTTGGTGCCCGGCATATAGTGCCTGCTCTGGTTAATGATCAATTTAGCGTATGTAACGGAACGAAGTTCGTTTTAAATATCTTCCCAAGAACAATTTTCTTACATTATTTACATTATTCGGACTACTGTCCTCATCTTTGTTGCCATTTTTATCACAACGTTTCGACCGTTGTACGCTCCAGCCTTCTTCAGGTGGTTGGAATGTCGAACTGAACCCTTTATTTTGCTCATTGGCTAGACTGTTCTAATTCCACGTGCCATGTCTAATGGTTGGCAATTATCAGTTATCTCCTGTTAATTCCCTTCTCTACCGACTTTACTAGGTATTGAACTCATACTCTTTTGAGTCCTGTCACTGGATCTAACTAACGTCTTTATCAACTGTGCCATTTGTCGTCAAGTACACATGGCACATGGCAACAAAGATGAGGACAGTAGTCTGAATAATGTAATTACTGTACATAATACCTCATCTCAGAAATATAGACAGAACAATTTTCTTACATTTTACAGATGTAAATTGTCTTAATATTTGGGCACTATTTTGTGAAGTAAAAAGCAGAATATTGTTTGTCTCGGGCAGTTTTTGGTGTCAGAGATAAAAAAAAAGCGGGAAAAATATGAAAAAAAAACATTGTGCTAATTCGGTTTAGTTATGTGTTCTAGAACTTCAAAATCAACTTGATATAGCTGTTGTTGTTTTTTAAAGAGTATCAGGTTAAAATTGCCCGTCACTTAAAATATTCGCTTCAGTTTCAAGATTCCAATCACTTCTTACAAATAAAGGTAGAAAACGCAACTATCTAGAGCTGATCATTAAAAAGTAAATGAATAAACATGTGCTTGTATTGATTAACTTCAAACGATCATAACTTGACAAATCCTTATGAAGAGAAACTTACGATGGTCGGCTGAAAAATTCATCGCCTGACCGATATACTCTCGTGGAATGCGACCAAATGAGGTTTAATTTCCATATACTAACCCCTTGCGATCCGCACACTTTTTCTATCGGTGTTGTAGTGCTTGGATCACATAACGGAAGAAAATTTCATCCTTTTAGTCAAAGATTTATCAACAATATATATGACGTCATCATCACTTCGATAATGGTTTCCAGCCAAGTTTTTTTTTCATGTTGGGGAACAGATGATAGTCAGATGGGGCCAAATGTAATCTGAGTGTAATCAGTCAGTTCGAAGCCGCATTCAATACCCAGCAGAAACCCTGAATGATGAAACCTTGCCAGCAATCTTCAATTCATAAACTCTTGATACCAAAGAGGAAAGTTCATTAGAACAATTGCCATAAAAATATTTATACAAAAGGCACGGGAAAGCTACATTACGGCGGTGGGAAAGTGACTGAAGAAGTGATGTCAGGTCAGGACCATTAACATTGCGGATTATGCTTTGTATTTTATCAAGATATATCTAGATAGATAGGCGAAACCAGTAACCAAGTCCTATAACCAATACATGTTCACTGTACTTAGCAAGGCTCATTGATCTTCTCTTTAAACTTTCAGAATCTATTTATATTATATCCAGCCAGCCATCCCTCTATAAACTGTAAGAGCTTGTCATTTTTGAATATTGATGGTTATATTATTATTATATTTAATGTTTATATGATTTTTATATTTCGTGTTTTTCATTTTATTGGCTGTGCAATGTGCAACCGTCTTTTTATCTGTTATTTTTTCTTTTTATTGTTTTAGCTTATCTATTTTAACCTCAATTAATTATTGTACCGAGGCTAAAATATTTAAGCATAGCCTTGTGCGTTTTCTATGAAAAATTGTAACCGAAATTTGTATTATTTCTCCACCCCATACATATAAAACTGTCTCCATTGACAAAACAAGTATTCGTCAGAAGTTCTCTCAAGATGGCCGCGCCTCTTCCGCCAAGATGTGGCAACACTACTCAGTTTTTAGTCTAATTGCAGCCGTTTTATTAAACGCTCACTGTACCTATCAACATGAACACCGAAGCCAAAGAATCCATAAATTATTCTTCAGCATAGTGTTCTTCCTTTTCAGTTTTTATATTTTATTTCCGAATCAGGTGTTGTATATTCGCCTCCTGGGAGTTTCTCACTTCCATTTAATCGCACTTAGTAAATTAGTTTACACGTGTTAAAACCTTTAAACACACTCTTGTGGCATGATGAGTTGAAATAAAAGGAATAAGTGTGAAACAGTTTTTTCTTCTTTATTTTAACAATAATGTTCACCCTGAACAAAGGCCGGGGACCTCTCGAGGTAGAGGGTTAAAGAGTAAGAGGCACAGTTTATGCGTATATGTGAAAAGGATAACGGTTAAGCCGAGATTTGAACAGATTAAAGTTGTAGTGACCGGTGGAACACCCACTTCGGAATGTTGCAGTTTTTTGTGTATATGTATTTACTAGTGAGCCAGTCAAAATGACTTGACACATTTTATAGTCCACCAAGAGAAGGGTTAACCAATCAGATGACGTAGAATATTCAATCCGTCGTGTATAAAGGCGGCCATTTTGTTTACTCTATCTGAATATCCAGTGCCAACCTGTCAGGCGAAGAGGAACAGAAGGAAGAACTACTGAACTACGCTCTGCTACTTTACCGGGATATCCACTGCTAACCTGAACAATGCTTTCCTACTGTCTTCGAAATATTCACTGCTAACCTCTGGATTCTATACTCAAAGACGACCGTTATCATGAACAACACGGAATCGGTTCCACGAGGCACTGGTCCGCATGAAGAAGCTGTTTGAGTGGATTTTACTTCTCACCAATAGAATACGTTGAAAATGAGGGTGGTTCGCTAAAACGCACGTTGCACGGCGGGTCCGGGTTGTGAAGCTTAGATCTGGTGGAACGAAGGAATGCCGTTTATGTTATCACTTTCCATGGGGGTAACGATCGAGCAGTGAAAGGTGAAACTACATCTACATCTGCGAGAGAGGCGTTGTACAGTGGAAAAAATAATTTGTCACCCAGAAGGACCCAGAGACGCTTCTAGACTCTATGGTGACTGGAAAGTGAGAATTGGACAGCTCCTGTCCAAATATGAAAGCAGTACGCCAATTTAAGTCTGATCTGACTATTTTAAATATAGGGGAGAGGACGAGGGGTTATGTACTAGATCGGTGGCGTTTTCTTGCATGTTTAGCGATGGACCGTATCTATGAGTTCTACTTGAGTTCTTGAATTTTCTAACGTAAACGCCGATAACACGGAATTCGAACGAACTGCATATACTGGATATAACAGCAAAATTGTCCAAATCGTGTAACAGCAAAATTGTCCAAATCATGTAACAGCAAAATTGTCCAAATCATGTAACAGCAAAATTGTCCATTTTTTTAGATTAAGCTTTGAACTGCTGTATCTTAGAAATTGTTAAAGATATCATACTGGTATTCTACGGTTTTTTTTATAACCATATTGGAATCTACTTTGAGCAATGAAAATGTACAATTACTCTCTAAGCTTAACAGAAGAATCGTCGTGAAATCGATCATAAACGAAAATGACATGTTCATCATAAATCAATCAAAGATAAGGATCTGAAGTTCATGAAGGATTGAAATTAAGCATATATATATATATATATATATATATATATATATATATATATATTCCAGTATATTTTTTCGAACTTATACAAGATGATCTTCGCCCTTTTCAAAACCTTCTAAGTTTCTTTCCTAGAGTAACAATTTGGCTCACACGTTTTACGTCCGATTACATTTTCAAGTCTGTTATTGCTCTTTTGACTCCCATAGCTGAAGCTCCTCTCTCTCACGCGCCAAACGTCTTATGAATTGAGTTGGATCATTTATAATTCATCTCTTTGGCTCTAAGTTGAAATAATGATCCCTCTTGCTGTTCCGACCTCCTGATCCAGGTTTCCTCTCTACTCTTTCCTCTTTGTAAAACTTATTCCCCATTCTCTTCATGGTTCTTGAAGGAACTTTGAAGATGAAAACAAGAGATTAAATGTTGGTATCATTACTGAAGGCCCGAAGGATTTTTTTCTTCTCACCATTGCTCATTTGGGAAGACAGTGGTCTAACACAAAACGATTTTAACCTTCTCTATTTTTAGCTGAATAACTCAAAGGGTTTTTCAATGATTCTTACAAAAATGCCGTCAAGATGGCTAAGCATCTTATCTTAAAACCTAAGGAAGAGAAACTCAATTAGTTTAGTGATTTTTTGTAGTTGTTTCACATTTTTTGTGGGTGGATAAATATGCGGTTCCACGATTTGTAAAATTTTTTCTGTTACACCCGGAATACTCGGTTATGGACTTTGAAAATGAAAACCAGAGTATGAACTTTGGTACCATTAATGAAAGTCTGAATGATTCTTACGACAAATGGTGTCAACGTCTTATCTGAAAACCTGGAGAAAAAAAAGAAACTGAATTAGTTTAGTGTTTTTTTTTTTTTTTTTAGATATTAAACATTTTGTGGGGCCGACAATTATGCTATTACACGATTTGGACAATTTTGCTGTTACGCACGGTATCTCCTTTTTGATATTGCTATTACCGTAAAACAACAAATTACTTATACTGTGGGACTATAAATACTTATTTTAATACTTAATTTTAATCGTTATGTCGTTTACAATATGGGCACGTGACCGAGTGGTAAGGATATTCCCTTTCTGACCATCTGGGGGAAAAAAAGTCAATTAGTTTAGTAGTCTTTTAGATGTTAAACATTTTTTGGGGGGATGGATAAATATGCGGTTCCATTTGTAAAATTTTTCCGTTACACCAGCAACATTCGGTTATGAGTCGACTTTTAAAAAGCAAATGACAATGGAAGGAAGAAAAAAAACCTGGCCGGCAATTAATTAATCATTTAAAGACTAGCGATGATAAGATCTAAGAATAACTCTAACACTCAATCACAGATATTTTCACTAATATCAAAAACAATAATATTTTAATCTCCTCAAATACCAAAACGGGGACATATACTGATTTTATTGACAGTCGTTGTTTTCCTCTGTGTTGACTGTCGAATCGAAAATTGTTATGGCTCTCGGCGGTATCAAACAGTGTCGCACTTCATGTAACGAAATAGATTTGTTTGTGTGTACCAAAAGTCTGAAGCTATTTGCGGTGTATCTCTGGTTGAGTTATCGCCGGAATATGTCTTTTACGAGAATTGTTTCGTGTTCGCTGGTAAATCGTCATATCTATAGTTAGAGTCCTAGCTAGAAAGTGAAATGTGGGCGAAAAACGATATCAATGACGCAGTATCAGGGGATGCTCGTCTACTAGGGCGGCTGGCTAATACCCAGTTGGAGACGCCCGCTCACACACATTTCGGTTTGTTCAGCACCCACACATCCTACCTGCGGTTTATACTGCAATTATGCTAAGCGGAAATAGTTACAGCTTATTGGAGACTGTGCGTTATCCAGCGTGATCAACAGTCTGAACAAGTCCAGCACGCTCAAAACGCTCGGTCACGATGACTTACGACTTCGTGTTAGCACAATCAACGGTGGCTCCCAAAGAGTCCCGTCTATCAAATTTCACTCACAAGGATTGGGTTAACTTTCCAAAAACATTCCTCGAGACTGATAGCATCAAGACGTCACCTTCCAGAAATCGTAGCATTCGAACTCGGATCTTATGGTCAGATGGTCAGAAAGGGAATATCCTTACCACTCGGTCACGTGCCCATATTGTAAACGACATAACGATTAAAATTATACAGGGTGTTTCAAAAAATTTGATATCATTTCGCAATCTAATAACTTTGTTAGATCTCCTTCAAATGACTTCAAATTTTAATAGCATCTTTATGTTTAAGGTTTGTTTTATGTTTTTATGTCTTTATGTTTTTGTGTTTTTCTTATTTGTATTTTTATGTTCTTTAATCTTTAATCTTTTTCTTTCCAGGTATAAAAATGCCGTGTCTCAGGCGGTTCGCATATTGAACATTTGTGAAATCGGTCACATAATCCACATGCTTTTGAATTTCTCATTCAGATTTGGAAGAATAAATCTTATGATCTTCAACATTAATACTTTTTAATTTCATTTGCCTTAATCATGTACTTTCTGTGATATTTACATCTCAAAGGATATCAAATTTTTTGAAACACCCTGTATATTAAAATAAGTATTTATAGTCCCACAGTATAAGTAATTTGTTGTTCTACGGTAATAGCAATATCAAAAACGAGATACCGGGTGTAACAGCGAAATTGTCCAAATCGTGTAATAGCATAAATGTTGGCCCCAGAAAATGTTTAATATTTAAAAAAAAAAAAAACACTGAACTAATTCAGTTTCTTTTTTTTCCAGGTTTTCAGATAAGACGTTGACACCATTTGTCGTAAGAATCAGTCAGACTTTCATTAATGGTACCAAAGTTCATACTCTGGTTTCCATCTGCAGAGTCCATAACCGAGTATTCCTGGTGTAACAGAAAAATTTTACAAATCGTGGAACCGCATACTTATCCATCTCACAAAATGGTTAATAACTTAGCCACCTTGACGCCATTTTTGTAAGAATCATTGAAAAACCCTTTGAGTTATGCAGCTAAAAATAGAGAAGGTTAAAATCGTTTCTCTCTCTCTCCTCCTTTGTCCTCTCTTTCTCTTTATCTCCACTTCTGTCCTCTCTCACTCTCTCACTCTCCTCTTCTGTCCTCTCTCTATTTCTCTCTCTCGTTTTCTTTCCTCTCTCTCTTTCACTCTCCTTTTCTGTCTTCTCCTCCCTCTCCTCTTCTATCCTCTCCTCTCAACCTCTAATTCTCTCTCCTCTTGTCATCACTCTTTTTTCTTTCTCTCTCTCCTCATCTGTCCTCTCCCTTTCACTCTCTCTCCTTTCTGCTCTCTCTCTCTCTCCTCTTCTGTCTTCTCACTCTCCTCTTCTGCCCTCTCTCCTTCTCCTCTTCTGTCCTCTTCTCTCACTCTCTAATTCTCTCTCGTCTTCTGTCCTCACTCCCTCTCTCCCTCTCCTCTTCTGTCCTCTCTCTATTTCTCTCTCTCTCTCTCGTTTTCTTTCCTCTCTCTCTTTCACTCTCCTCTTCTGTCTTCTCCTCTCTCTCCCCACTTCTGTCCTCTCTCACTCTCTCCCTCTCCTCTTATGTCCTCTTCTCTCGCTCTCTAATTCTCTCTCCTCTTGTCATCACTCTTTTTTTCTTTCTCTCTCTCCTCAACTGTCCTCTCTTTCTCACTCTCTCTCCTTTTTGTTCTCTCTCTCCTCTTCTGTCCTCTCACTCTCCTCTTCTGCCCCCTCTCTCTCTTTCTCTCTCTCTTTTCTTCTGTCCTCTCTCTCTCTTTCACTCTCGTCTTCTGTCTCCTCTCTCTCTCTCTCCTATTCTGTCCTCTCTCACTGTCTCCTTCTCCTCTTCTGTCCTCTTCTCTCACTCTCTAATTCGCTCTCGTCTTCTGTCCTCTCTCACTCTCTTCCTCTCCTCTTCTGTCCTATCTCTATTTCTCTCTCTCTCTCTCGTTTTCTTTCCTCTCTCTCTTTCACTCTCCTCTTCTGTCTTCTCCTCTCTCTCTCCACTTCTGTCCTCTCTCACTCCCTCCCTCTCCTCTTCTGTCCTCTCCTCTCACTCTCTAATTCTCTCTCCTCTTGTCATCACTCTTTTTTTCTTTCTCTCTCTCCTCATCTGTCCTCCCCTCTCATCTCTCTCCTTTCTGTTCTCTCTCTCCTCTTCTGTCCTCTCACTCTTCTCTTCTGTCTTCTCTCTCGTTCTCTCTCTCTTGTCTTCTGTCCACTTTCTCTTTCACTCTCCTCTTCTGTCTTCTCTCTCTCCTCTTCTGTCCTCTCTCTCTTTCACTCTCCTCTTCTGTCTTCTCTCTCTCTCCTCTTCTGTCCTCTCTCACTCTCTCCTTCTCCTCTTCTGTCCTCTTCTCTCACTCTCTAATTCTCTCTCCTCTTCTGTCCTCTCTCACTGTCTCTCTCCTCTTCTGTCCTCTCTCTATTTTTCTCTGTCTCTCTCTTTTTCTTTCCTTTCTCTCTTTCACTCACCTCTTCTGTCTTCTCCTCTCTCTCCAGTTCTGTCCTCTCTCACTCTTTCCCTCTCCTCTTCTGTCCTCTCCTCTCACTCTCTAATTCTCTCTCCTCTTGTCATCACTCTTTTTTCTTTCTCTCTCTCCTCATCTGTCCTCTCCCTCTCCCTCTCTCCTCTTTCTGTTCTCTCTCTCTCTCCTCTTCTGTCCTCTCACTCTCCTCTTCTGTCCTCTCTCCCTCTCTCTCTTTTCTCTCATTTCTCTTTCTCTAGAGAGCTCTATATTTCTCTTCAGGATGGTTTGCTTTCGTATTCATATCAATATGACGAACACTCCTCCGATAACTTAACATGAAAACTGTTCCCAGCCTTATTTCAAAATATTCTCGCTATAGACCCACACATTCAGATATATGGCATCAACTATTTCTTTGTAACATTTTTAAATCGAAGAAATATTAAAAATGTCGTGGTGTTACTGAGGAATTTAGGCAAAACAGGCGTGAGATTAGAGTTTGTGAACTATTTTTAGGGAGCCCTTTGTGAAATTTGCTTCACATGCCCCCAATAAGTGTTGCTTTGGCATTCCAGTTTCTTGTTCGATTAGTGAAGCTCTTCATAAACTTTCCCCATTTTAAAATCTCCCCAACTCTCTTTCCATTAATCCCTTACATCCTTTTATCTATATATTTTAAAGTTATTTTTCAACCCCTTTTTATTCCTCTTTTAATTTTAAATTAATATTTCATTCTTCATATACCACCAAAATAATGTCATAAGGTTAATATTCGGGTTTACTTTTATAAAACTTCTTTCCTTTAAGACAAATACCTTCCACCCTCCCCTGATCCCTGTCTCGTGCCTTTCGTCTGACTGAAACATTGAAATGGATAAATTCTGTATAAGTTTTTCGACTGATTTTTAGCTTTCTATTTCTGACATAAACTCATTCCAAACAGGGCTTCATAAGACTGACAACCGATTTCTTAGTCTGGCGAAATAGACTATTCCCCATATGACGTAATTTTATATTTTATTGTTTATTATTATATGCTCTGTAATAATAAATATATTGAGCTTTTTTAGTGGATCAGTTTTATATTTTATATTACTAGGATCCACTTGGATTATATAGCAAAGAATTTGTTACCTTTACAATATATATATATATATATATATATATATATATATATATATATATATATATATATATATTTATATATATATATATTGACCACTAATATTATCAATATATATATATATATTTTTAAGATAAAAAATATATTTTTAAGATATGATATAATAATGGACATAATTGCTCAATATCAGGATATAGAGCGTATGTAAATATGAAATGGCATGCTAGGTGAACACAAAACCGTGAAACCATCTTCATATATATATATATATATATATATATATATATATATATATATATATATATATATATTTATATTGTTTGTGACCTGATGTCCGAGTTTTGCCTGTTTGTCCGACGATCGCAAAACCGTGAAACCCAGGGTCACAAACTCACATCTATCCAACTAAATATGTTAGAAACGAATATCTCTGATATTGAGCGCTTTCTTATAAGTACCGCGCAAATAAAATATATAAATAATTATATACATATATATATATATATATATATATATATATATATATATATATATATGTATACACTTTTCACGTATATATATGTGTGTGTGTAACTGCATCGATAAAACAATTATTAGTTAAAAGTTCCTTGAGTGATTCCCGCCCAAATATATTCTTTATTTTGTTTACTTACAACAAATTTAATACTAGACGTACGCCATCAGTACCTACCAATATGAACAAAAATACCTCAGAATAGTTAATCTATTCCTCGACACTGTGTCCTTTATTTTCCATATGTTATCTCATTTTCGATTTAGGTAGTGTACTCAATTTGTGTAATTTTATCACCTTTCTTTTTTAGTTTGTGCAATTTTATCAGCTTCTCTTTTTAGTGCATGTTATATTTTTCTAATCATCGCTATTGGAGTTCAGTTATATTTTTAATTCTTCGTTAATGAACCCAAGATTTCACATCATGGATTCAGAAGCCTTTGTGTACCAATGGAGTATGTGAATATTCTGGTAACTAAGTTTTCACAGGATTTTGATCAGTCAAGAAACAGAAGTAATGTCACGTTTTTTGTGTCGGGTTGTATGCTGGTACCGTTTTCCTTATTATTATTCCTGTTCATTTTTGTCTGCTTCTTTTTTTAGTTTCCGTATCAACTGTGAGATCTTTGAACAACAAAAAGTATTTTCTTCTTCGGTCTCCCGATGAGACTAAACATACTGGGCAATAGTTTGCTTCCATCTTGAAATATTCAAGGCAGAATCTAGCATGTTTCTCCAACTTAGCCCAACTCCCTGAAGATCTTCGTCTATGCCCAACTATACTTCCTTTTCTCTTTTAACAAGAAGGAATTCGCGTTATTGTTTTAAAAAAAAGCATTGTAATAATATTCTGACAGGCGTAAGCTATTTCAGTTGCTAGCGTCTCTCTTTCACTGCATTTTCTGTTAGAGCTTCTTACTGTTACTGCGTTTTTAAGACCAGATATTTAGGACGAAAATTTTCAGGTTGACTGATATACAGGTGTGTACAGGTTGGAATTTGTTCACTATGTAATTAACGACAAGCTACTTTTATCTTGAAAATGGAGACGCACACGTAAATTATGAAAACA